CACTCCACTCCACTCCACTCCACTCCACTCCACTCCACTCCACTCCATTCCTCTCCGTTCTAACCTATCCTATCTTATCGTACTATTGCAATTTGAGCAAATGGGCCACACAGCTTATCTGTCAAAGAGATTGATGCAGGACAATCTGACACTTTTTTTACTAATCTGTGCTTGAAAGATTTATACCATATTGCTTAAAATGTTTAGCAGATAATTAACAAATCTAACACTTCCATTATATTAGTGCCATTTCATTTTGATAATTTGCTAATTATTTAGTGTGTGCAAATGTGGTGAAGAGGCTAACATTACCTGTTTTGTCTTGATTTTTGTCAGCAGGAGATACAGAATTCCTTTTCTTCTTCCAGAACCAAGGTAGTAATGACAGGGGAATATTTTCTTCAGAATATGAATATTGGTCTAAGTAGAAAAGAAAAAAAAAATCCAGACAATAGGTATAATAAATATAAAAGAAAACATATATATAAATATCTACAACAACAGATAAAACAGATTATTTGAAGAAAATATCCATAGAGAGAGATTAAAATCAGTAGTTTGACTGTGGTAGAGCACAGTCATATTCTGCGCAAGGTCAGGAGAAAAAATTAGTGTTATAACTTCACATAGAGTGTTTATATCTTTGAATAAGTTTTAATATAATGCATTATTATTCATACTGCAGTGTGGGTTACTTTGCATAGAATAACTCCAGCTACAGCATCAATTAAACTCCTTTCAGATTTAAAAAACAAAAACAAAAACAAAGACTGTAGAAATTGTTCAGACATTTAGGAGTAAGAACCATCTCACTCATGCTTTGGCTTCCTTCTTCAGAGGTTCCCTGCACAGCAACTTTTAATGAAACTTGATAGTTTAATGCTAACTGTTCTACACTTCTGTGCTGTGTCACCTAGGAAACAGGGAAATATGTCTGTGTTTTCAAAACAGAGGGAACTGAGCTTCAGATCAGGCCAACCCTGATAACAGAGCTCTGAAAGTCTTTGTAAATCATTAAATATGCTACTAATTAAAATTACAAATGCCATATGGTTCTCAATTGTTGGAACATAAGGCACAGGTTAGACTGCTAAGAGGTGCTCCTGACATCAGAGAAAGGACTCTACAAAGGGATGGAGAAATCAACCAGGCTTATATGATATCTGTTCTTCACTCTGTAAATGCAGAGTTTATATCAATAATGTACAGAGTTTAATATTCTTGCATCTTACTACATAATCAACCCCACGCAAATTAATTTTTATGTCCAATAAATAAACAATTGAAAAAACAATTCAAGACTATGGCAGGAAAGGAAAACAAAAAAGCAATATTGCAACTCTCATGTGTCTCACAACTGTTTATATCAAAATATCAAACACTGAAATTTTCATTTCAAAAAGTAAAATTGTTTGACAAAATTTGTGAAATGATACAATCATAATGACACAATCATACAAATCAACTTATGACGTTTGTCATTTTTAACCATCAGTTGGGGTTATTCAGCTTAGGTCTAAGCCTGACCCTGGTGTTGTCAGTAGTACTTCTGATTTTACTCCTTTATTTTATGAAAGCCTTACAATAAAAACAAACAAACAAACAAATAAATAAAAAAAAGCAGGTGTATTCCTTAGACTTGCCCATAAATGCATTGAACAGTTGAATGTTAAACAGTTGAGTCCCACCCTCTCTGTCCTGTTGCAAGAAGTAGCAGTGCAGGATAAGAGAAGACTGATTCTTTTATGTGTGGCTCAATAGAAGAACTTTAGCAAAAGAAAAAATTACTCCTTTGACTTAGGCAGATGTACCAAGTCTTTCTTTATTAACTAAAAAATGAAGCATGAAACCCAAAGTACGAAAAGAATAATAGCTCTCGTTATGCAAGGACAGGGAGGTGATTATCCCCCCCTACTCTGCTATTCTGAGGCCCCATCTGGAGAACTGTGTCCAGGTCTGGAGCCCCCAATATAAGAAAGACAGAGAGCTGTTGGAGAGGGTCCAGAGGAGGGCCATTAGGATGATTAGGGGACTGGAGCACCTCCCCTATGAGGACAGGTTGAGGGAGCTGGGCTTGTTCAGCCTGGAGAAGAGAAGGCTGCGGGGTGACCTCATTGCAGCCTATCAATACCTAAAGGGAGCCTACAAACAGGAGGGGAATCAACTCTTTGAAAGGGTGGATAACTGCAGGACAAGAGGAAATGGTTTTAAGTTGAGGGAAAGAAGATTTAGGTCGGACATCAGGGGGAAATTCTTTACCCAGAGAGTGGTGAGGTACTGGAACAGGCTGCCCAGAAAGGTTGTGGATGCCCAGTCCTTGGAGGTGTTCAAGGCCAGGTTGGATGGGGCCCTGGGCAGCCTGGTTTAGCATTAAACGTGGAGGTTGGTGGCCCTGCATGTGGCAGGGGGGTTGGAGATTCATGATCCTTGAGGTCCCTTCCAACCATGGCCATTCTGTGATTCTGTGATTATGCCCTGAACAAATGGGCACTGACAGTCAAGACCACATTAATTTTCTTCGTTGATTACAATGAAGCACAAATTGTCATTTTTATTGCTGCTGTTGATCTCTTCTACAAGCAGTCAAGTACTACAGCTCAGCTGCAAGATTCAGTACAGTTCAATGGTTGGAAATGACTCATATGTTAACCCTTCCCTTGATTATGAATGGGACAGTGTCAGCTTCTCCTGTTTACCTGTGGAGTGGGTGGTTTTACAAACTGATCTAGTCCTTGCTTCTTACTGAGCACTGCACCATGTTCATAACAACTTATTGTAGAATATCAAAGCCTGCAGTTCTAGCAAGGATTGCAGTTACTGTATAATTATATTAATTTAGGTTTGGAATTGTTAAGCTGAAGATTCATGCATTAATATATTTTCACACTCTGGGAGGAATATCTCGTTTCCTGAAAGTAAATTGAAAACGAATTTCTGATGGCATTTTACAGATTTTTCCAGACAACAATTCATTGTGATTTTTTTTGCTTATTCATGCTGGTCAAACCACATATTTTTATCTATCATTCTCAGGTTACACTGCCTTAAGCAACAGCCTTGCCCAATGGCATTGCCTAACAGAGCTGACAATCAGTGATGTTGTTTTAACTTGTTATTCTCAACTTAGAGTTTATTGCATGAGAGAAAGATGGACAGGCAGTTAGTGAATACTTTGAATGTTCAAACTGTTGAATTATTCTATACAAATACATTGGCATAAAGAAGAGGACAGATAGGAACAAGCAACAAAGATAGTGAAGGGTCTAGAGAACAAGATACAGAGAGGCAGCTGATTTTCCTTGGGCTGTTCAGCCCAGAGCAGGGCAGGCTGAGGGGAGGCCTTGTGGAAGCCTACAGCTCCTTGCAGGGAGTGCAGGGGCAGCGCTGAGATCTGTTCCCTGGTGACAGTGATATGATACAAGGGAACATCTTGGTGCTGCGCCAGGGGAGGGCTGGGAATGGGTCTAGGGAAAGGTTCTTCACCAGGTTTTTCACCATTCGAGCACTAGGACAGGCTCCCCAGCTGCTGGAGTTCAATAAATGTTTGGACAATGATCTCAGGCAGAGTATCGATTTTAAGGTGGCCTTGTGTGGAGCCCGTGTTTGAGCTTGATCCTTGTGGATTCTTTCTCACTCAGGATATTCTATGATTCCATGGACTAAAAAGCTGATAATTTTGAAAAATATTTGCTATCAGCAGTTAACATTTTGCTACCACAAGGGTTTTCTTGATCTCATTTGTCAGTTTTATGGCTATTTTTCTCTGTGAAGGAATACGTTTCTGACGACAAACTACTGAGATATTGGAAAAAAACCTGAGAATCTAGATTACCTTTACACTTATTTGTTGACTTTTACTTCATTTAAATTGGCTAGATAAGATATTTACAAGGTGTTCCCAGTTTTTTTCTCGCTTATTATTCAGCAACCCGTAAATACAGGTCTTAATGCCTCATTAATCGAGTGCTATTTACTTCTAAATAAGCCATAATGAGCTTTAATTTTCATTTCATCGATGCATTTAAATTTTCAGCATAATACTTGAGGAGTTTATTTGATATGTAAACACAGAATACTTTTACTAATATGGCTGGGAAAGTTTCAACCATGGTCTTTAATAACAGGTAAGAATATATTGTTCCATCATGATTCCATCGCGACTTACGGTCAAGTTCTGCAGGTTACAGAGAAAAAGACACAAATCTTTCTCTTCTTTCCCTCATCCAACTTCTCAGCAGCCTGCTTCCTAAGGTGGAGCAAGGCAAAGAGTCCTGATTTCATTACAGGCTTTGCACAGCTGTTTACATTTACTGTAATTACATACTCTTTAAAAAGGCCCACATAATCTTACCTTCTGTTATCACTTACATACTCACTTACATGCATTTCTGATAAATCCCAAACTAAAAATGGTAGCTGATGCTGGCTATTTTAATTTTTGTATCTCTGGTTATGTGCTTTAGTTTTTGCCCAATATATAGATGTCTCAGAGCATGTATCAGAAGACTGAAGTCCCAAAACTGCAAAGTGCAAGGTTTTGCACTTGGGCCAGAGGAATCCCAGGCATCCATACAGACTGGAAGGAGCAGTCCTTGAGAGCAGCCCTGCAGAGAAGGACCTGGGGGATGAAAAACTTAACATGAGCCAGCAGTGTGCTCTTGCAGCTTGGAAAGCAAATGGTATCCTGTGCTCCATCAGAAGAGCGATGGCCAGCAGGGACAGGGAGGTGATTGTCCCACTTTACTCTGCTCTTGTGAGGCCCCATCTGGAGAACTGTGTCCAGGTCTGGAGCCCCCAGTATAAGAAAGACAGAGAGCTGTTGGAGAGGGTCCAGAGGAGAGCCACAAAGATGATCAGGGGACTGGGGCACCTCCTCTACAAAGACAGGCTGAGGGAGCTGGGCTTGTTCAGCCTGGAGAAAAGAAGGCTGCGGGGTGACCTCATTGCAGCCTTTCAGTACCTAAAGTACCTACAGGAGGGGAATCAACTCTTTGAAAGGGTACATAACTGCAGGACAAGGGGAAATGGTTTTAAGTTGGGGGAGGGAAGGAAGATTAGGTTGGATGTCAGTTCTTTACTATGGGAGTAGTGAGGTACTGGAACAGGCTGCCCAGAGAAGCTGTGGATGCTCCATCTCTAGAGATGTTTGAGACCAGATTGGACGGGGCCCTGGGCAGCCCAGTCTAGCATTAAATGCGGAGGTTGGTCTCCCCGCATGTGGCATGGGAGTTGGAGATTTATGATCCTTGACGTCCCTTCCAACCCTGGCCATTCTGTGGTTCTGTGATTCTGTGGAAAGCATTACAGAGTTTAATACTCACAATAACATCGTGTAAGAGATAGTCTGTATAACAAAAATGATGAGTACAAGTGCTATTGAATTATAGTTCTTTACATGTCATGATTATGACATTGTTTCTGTGGAAACTCTAGTAGAAACAACAAAAAAACTCAGCAGTATTCAATTTTCCATCCTTTCGTTAAAGCATTATGTTCTCTTATTTGAGGCAGAATCCTCTGTTAATTCACTTGCTTTACATATTAATTTTTTTTTCAGCAAACATGGAATTACTGTTCCAGGAGAACAATAAGCAGCAGAAAGAGATCTTAGTTCGAAAGAAAATAAATAAATATATTATATTTGTAACTAAAATGCATCATGCAAAAGAAAATAGAAGTATAGTTGACACACTTTTAATTACTAATCCAATTTTTATTAAACATCCTTTTAGTTAGCATGTTTTTTAACATACAGTACAACTGAAACTCCTTCTTAGATCTATCTCTGCTTGCTTGCCAAATCAATTGAAGTCCTTTGAAAATGTCTGAACAAATTCTTCTGATCAAGAACTTAAGATTCTTGTGCTGTTAAACTACTGAACTCACTTTTCAGTCTTGAACAGAAGCCACTGTCATTAGCCCTTTATCAATCCCTCGTACAATCTTCTCTGTTCATTTTCTAACATTATATGTCTTATAATTACACGCCTAAATGACAGTACAAAAGCATGAGCATACATTGTTACTTGCTGTGGATGAAATAATACTCAGTGTCTCGTTAAGCTGTAGAAACTCAATTCCACTTTTGAAAAATGTTACAAAATATTTCTAGAGACCAGGGAAGCTTTAAGTAGGAGAACTTCAGTTATTGCACTTTGTTAAATGTTTCATAAAGTATACAACTTTCTAACTGACATCAGAACAAATGTATTTTGAGGACAGACTTTGAAAAATGATTAGATATATTTAAAACTATACTCATCTACTGTTCTTTCAGAATTGTTTACAGCTAAGAACTTTAAAAATAAAATATTTTTAAATTTACCTCATGTTCTTAAATATAAAATTTGGCTGGCTCTGTGCTTCCACTCTCATCAACTGTGTGCCATAATTCAACATAAATGAACCCCTTTCTTTCCTAAATAAATATTAAGTCTTAAAAATTACCTTCATCCATTGTAATTGATCTGCTCTCACGGCCAGTTTTTCCTCAGAGGAGTGAATTACTATGTGCAGTCAGCCTCCCACACTATGTGCATAAATATTTAATATACAAAAAAATACAAAAGCTTTTCTAGGCAACAGGATACTTGTACAAAGTAAAACGGGAGATATGTATCAGGTTTCTTCTCACTGTTTCCTGTGGCTAGCAATGTCTGCTTTGCCAGATCAAAACTTGCTAGATGAAACTCAAAACGCTAGAAGACTGGGCTGATATTGGGGTCTGTCCTGTTTAATACCTTTATTGATGACCTGGACAAGGGGATTGAGTACATCCTAAGTTTGCAAATGACACTATGCTGAGAGGAAGTGTTGATCTCCCTGAGGGTAGGAAGGCTCTGCAGAGTCATCTGGACAGTCTGGATAACTGATCTGTAGCCAAGGGGGTGAAGTTCAACAACCAAGTACTGGATTCTGCTCTTTGGCCACAATCCCAGGCAATGCGACTTGGAGCAGAGTGGCTGAAGAGGAAACAGACCTGGGGGTATTGATTGATGCTTGTCTGAATATGAACCAGCAGTGTTTCCAGATAGCCAAAGCCAGTGGCATCTTGGCTAATATCAGTGTTGCCAGCAGGAGCAAGGAGGGCATCATTCACCTGTAGTCAGTGCTGGCAAGGCCAAACCAGCACCAGTAGAGTGAGTAATGTGTTCAGTTTTGGGAACCTCACTACAAAAAAGACACTGAGGCCCTGGAACATGTTCAGAGAAGGGCAGTGAAGCTGGTGAGGGGTCTGGAGTGCAAGACATATGAGGAGCAGCTGAGGGAACTGGGACTTGTAATTCTGGAGAAGAGGATGGTCAGAGGAGACCTTATAGCTCTCTACTACTTTGTGAAAAGAGCTTGTGGCAAGGTGGAGACTGGCCTCTTCTCCTGCATAACTGGAGATAGAACTAGAGAGCCTAAAATTGCTGTAGGGGAGATTCAAGTTACACATTGGGAAAAATTTCTTCCTCAAAGGAGTGATCAGGTGCTAGAATAGGCTGTCTAAGGAGATACTTGAGTCGCTGTCTCTGGAACTGTTGAAGAAATGCTTAGGTGTTATACTGAGAGGCACAGTTTAGTGGGGAAATATTCATGGCAGATGGATTAGCTGAAGGTCTTTTCCAACTTTGGTGATTACTTGGTTCTATGAAAAAAATATTTAATAAAAGTCTACTCTAACTTGTTTCAGCTGAAAAAAAAAATACGTAAAATATGGTACATTTGCTACATTTCTAGTAGTTACAAAACTTGTAAAGGAAACCTGTAATGTGGAGTTCGATGTAGTTTCAGCCTAATTTCACATAAACGAGGTTATGAAATGCTTCCTGATTGAGTTTTTATTACATCAGAGCAAAGTTTGCCTTGCCATATAGAAACATAAAGCTCACCACTCACATCTAATTAAAGGTAAAACATATTTATCACTGCCATTATACTGAGAAGTGCCTCAGCTAACGAAGTTGGCAGATTGTTTTGAATGACAGTTCAAATTTACTGTTCTCTTAGAATAACCCAGACATACAATTTATGATTATTCCCATATTAATATGAATAATGCAGCTGCAGGAAATGGCAGAAGAAAGTACTACTCAGCAGTTGCAAAAGCAAATACACAATAATCTGTTTGCAGACTGGTGTGATCAAGATTAATCAAGTGAGACTAGTGGCTCCAGATTTTTACTATGCTGCTATTGTTCCATACTCCACCCTTCTGTCAAAATGGATTAAGAATGAGAGCCTGCATTTAGATTGTAGTTTAAAAGGGAGGTTTTAGTATCATGAACTCAACAAGCAGTTTCATTATGGATTTTTTGAACCATCTTTGTTTCCAAATAATACAAAATTAATTGATTGTATGACTAGTTTCCCTGGTGTTCTATTTTGAATATACTGTATTTAATCTTGGGTATGATGAAAAAAACATGATATGGAACTTACATAAAAGATTTCTCTGAAAAAGTTATTTTCTTATATGAAAGGAATTTTCTTGTGATACAGAAATTCAGTAATGTTTTTTTTTACATCTCCTTTCTCCTTTTGTCTCTTGTTAATGGAGGAAAAAAAAAAGAAAGAATAAAAGAAAAAGAGAAAAGACATGAGGAAAATAATGCTCTGAACAACTGAAGGTATTTGACTTTCCAAAACTGTGGTCCCACAGAAATGCAGAATTGCTTTTGATAGATTGTATTTTCAGAAACAGGTGAATAAAAAGAAAAAAAGATGTAAAATTATATTTAACAATGTTCTGATAGGTTTAAACTTGCATTTTTTAACAATCATTGTAACGTTTCTTTCTTTACTTAAACTTTTGAGGGGTATGTAATTTCTAATCCTGAAGTAGGTCTTGATTGTGCTGGCTAATAAACAGAGTAGCAGATTGTCAGTGCCACAAACATCTTAAGATCACTTTCTCAGTCCCCTCAGTAATCCCCTCAGTAATCAATTCCACATTGATACATATTTTTCTTAAATCTCTGTCATCTTCAAACTGTTTTTTTCATTCTTCTTGCTGGCATCTGGTTATCAATAATATTTTATGCTCTATTATAAGAAGATAAATTTCTAGGGCTAAGAAGCTCATATTCCTTTATGTATATTCCCAACCTATTTTATTTTTTCAAAAATCTTATAGCAGCTCCAGGGCTAAATAATCTACTTTAGTATAGAATCAGGTCCTATCTTACATGTCACATCTGCATCTTTCCTCTTTCAGGAAATTCAACTCTGAGTTACATACCTTTAGGCATTCATACAATGGAACAAATTACAACAAATACAAACATGTCTTGGAGATTCTTCTCTTCCAAATAAAAGTAAGCCTAATACCTTTACAATTTCTCATGAATAATTATGACTTGCACTGTGTCATCCATTGTACTCTTTAAAAGGTATTCCTTCCCAAGCAGCAACAGCCTTGGATCAACCCAGCCTAAAATAAAACTGAAACATGAAAACTGAAGATATCTGATTTTTTAGCTGGAAACTGAATGAGAAAAAGCTGTTCAATACTTAAATACAGACCTCAGGAACAAATGTGATGATGCAAATTGTTTTGCTGAAAATTAAACAGCAAACATACTTAAAATGATGTGAAATATATAGTGGAGGACACCAGAAAAAACTTACACTGAATACAGCAGTTCAGATTGTTCTGTATCTCCCTTCCCTTCCCTTCCCTTCCCTTAATAGTGGAATAGTATAAGATATTTCAGAAGGAAATGAAATATTTAATTTACTCAGCTTTGTTTTCTGACTGTTCTTTTCACACTGTGAATGCAGTCAGTGAGCAAAACATTATTAACTATTATTCATTTATCATGTAATTCCTGTTCCTGTTTGATAGTCAGAACCGAGTTAGGGCTGTGCCACTTCCAACAGGTCTCAGACTGCCTGAAGTGATTTTGAAGTTTCAGAATGTGATCCTCCTCAGCGCAGATATGGAGCAAGATATGTTTTATTTATTTAACCTGGACATTACAGTCTGCTACCATTTATTCATTTTGACAAACTGAAACAACCAAAGTGGAATGGTTTGCTTACAAGATGGAGTCATAGAATCATTTAATCATCAAGTTTGGAAAAAACTTCTAAGATCATCCAGTCCAACCATTCACTTATCACCAGTATTTTCCAATAAATGCCCCTCAGTACAGCATCTAAATGTTGTGGCTTGCACTCCAGACCCCTCACCAGCTTCACTGCCCTTCTGTGAATATGTGCCAGGGCTTTGATGACTTTCTTGTAGTGAAAGGCCCAAAACTGAACACAGTATTCAATCTGCAGCCTCACCAACACTGAATATAGGGGATAATCACATCTTTGCTTCTGCTGGCAAAACTATTTCAAATATAAGCCAGGATGCTAATGGCTTCTCGGCCATCTGGGCACACTAATGGGTTATGTTCAGCCAAGCATCAACCAATACCACCAGATCTGTTACCTCTCCACAGTCTTCCAGCCACTCTACTCCAAGTCTGTAGTGTTGCCTGGGGTTGTTGTGGCCAAAGTGCAGGACCTGGCATTTGATCTTGTTGAACTTCATCCCATTGGCCTCAGCCCAGCCACCCAGCCTGTCCAGATCCTTTGTAGGGCCTTGCTACCCCCAGGCAGACTGACACTTCCAGCCAACTTGTTGTAATCTCAATCTTACAGAGGGTGCACTCAATGCCCTCATCCAGGTCATCAATAAAGATATTGAAGAAGACAGACTCCAGTACCAACCCCTGGGGAACACTGTTCATGACCAGTAGCCAGATGGATTTAAATCCATATATCACCATTCTCTGGGCCCAACCATCGAGCCAGTTCTCTACCCAGCAAAGAATGTAACTACCCAAGCCATGGACTGCCAGCTTCTCCAGGAGGATACTGTGGGAGACAATGTTGATAGATTTGCTGAAGTCTAGGTAGACTATGTCAACAGTCTTTCCCTCATCTACCAGGTGGATCAGTCAATCATAGAAAGAGATCATGTTGGTCAAGCAGGACCTGCCTTTCACATTCGCTAACCCTAACCCTAACCTGTGCTGGCTAGGCCTGATCACCCAGTTGTTCCACACATGCTGTGTGATCTCCCTCAAAATCATCTGCTCCATAAGCTTTCCTGGCTCTAAGGTCAGGCTGTAGTTCTGGAGAGGCTGGTAGTTCCTTGATCTTCCTTATGGCTATTCTTGTAGATGGAAGTCACATTGTCAAGCCTCCACTCCCTTAGAACCTATTTGGTTGAGCAGGAATACTGGTAGATGATGGAAAGCGGCTTGACATTCACCTCTGCCAGCTCTCTCAGTACGCTCAGGTGGATCCCACCTGACCCTATGGATTTGTAGATACCCAAGTGAATTAGTAGGTTTCTATCAATTTCCACCTGAATCATGGGAGGTTTCTTATACTCCCCTATCTAAAACTTCCAGGACAGGGGATAGGATACCCCAAGGATAGCTGGTCTGACTTTTAAAGACATGTAAAAAAGGCATTGAGAATCTCCTTCTCCTTGTCCACAGTGGTCACATTCCCTTCTGCATCCAGTAATGGATGGAGATTCCCTTAGCACTTCTCTTAATATATTTATAAAATATATTATATTTATACTATATATATATATAATATATTTTCCTATAGAGTCTCAACCACATCATTCCCAGCCCGAAGCTCAAGAACATCAAAACATTCTCTAACATAGAAAACCATTCTGCCACCCCTCCTTCCTTGCCTGTCACTTCTGGAGAGCTTATAACCATCCACTGCAGCACTCCAGTGATGGGAGTAATCCCACCATATTTCTGTAATGGCAACTAATTCATAGTTTGCCTGCTGCACAATGGCTTATGTGTTTCCACTTTCTTGTCTTATCTACTTAGTACTTCCCACTGCGTGTACATTATATTATACCTTCCTCAGAGAATTACTACTGCAGTCACAACTATATTACCATAAAGATTTGTTTTGCTCTATTGTGATTTGGAGGAGGATTTGTGTAACCATGATTTCCAAAGCTTTTTTTCCTAGAGCCTTCCTAGAAGGTCAAGAATTTTCTCGTATAAATTACTTTGGCACACAACCACAGTGATTTCAGGGCTTATGCTTGGAAGGCAGTCTGACAAGTCAAAAAAGCTTTTGGAACTCTTTCTCAATCTGCATCCCAAAGATAACTCCCGGTTATATTAAGTGGGTGTCAACGCACTATCTCATTTAAGATGAATCCAATTCCTAAAATGATGGCATCTTGACATTACTTCACAGACAGTTGTTCTGCCTGTTTCTAATACAGTGTGGGCTTTTCTTTTTCTTCAGACAGGGGAGCAGCTCTCTAGCATTTTGTATGTTGTGGAATAGCCAAGCTACAACCTACCATAAGACTCAGAAAATGCCTTTACATTTTCTACATTAATATTGCTTTAGAGCTATGGAAAGGTATTTACTGTGACTAAGTAAATAGTAAATATTAAAGACAATTAATGACAGAAAGTGCAAGGACTTCCTTTTGTCAGAGGATTAGTATTCAGTGTTTCATTCCAACTATGTTAGCTAATCTAAGATGAAAGAGAGAGATAAATGATAAGTATTTTCTCAGTGTAAGAACACAATCCCAGTTAGAAAATTCCTCAGAAATATTTATGAACTTTTTGGATTGATATCAATACACAGATGAATGTTGTCTTTTTTATTTGCAGTCTGGCAAAGTGGCCTGCATCTGAACCATGAACTGAACGAGAAATGATACATTAATGAAAATAAATGCTTTAACGGACCACAAGAGATAAAACACAGTTTTGTTTAGCTGTCTCATATGCATCATTTTTTGCTTGATTCTTACTAAGAAAATATGTCTGTATTGAACCTATATACCAGCCTATGACATGGGATAATGTGGATACACAAGATCACAGTCAGATTGTAATTATATTTGTCTGTAGTTGCATAGATTAGATGTGAATGAATAGATAATATAGCTATTTTCTCTTAAAATAGAAATCTAATCAGGTTGAAATTTAATGTAATGTTAAAGTAAGATAAAATCTGAGAAGACAATGCTTCAGTACACAGAAAATATATTTTTCAGAACAGTGCAATTGAGGCTTGCTTTAAGAATTTGTACAGGAATAAGTGTATTAGTAAAAGAAACTAGGTTTGCACTAGAATCACTAGAATGCCTTGTTGAAAGTACTGTTCCCTTCGGTAGGACTGCTAACAACACTATATGTTTTTGAATGTATATAATCTATACTACTTTTACTTGAAATCTGAGTAAAGCTGGTTGCCCTGAAGGGCCTTGCTGTCTAAGGTAGTGAGTGATATTTTTCTCTTCAGTTTCACAGGATGTAGGAAAACACTAGTGAGGATAAATTAAAATCACAAGGTGCAAAATATGTGAGAGGTAGATTCCAGGTGACTCTGGCTTGTCCTCAACTTGCACAAAGGGAATGATTGATCTGGTGGAAAACAGGCAGAAATCTATGTTTTATCTCCTATTGTCTGACTTAGTTCTTGCAGGAAAATACTATTTTAATTCAGAACAATTCAGTTTGCTAGCGTCAGTTTTCACTTACTGTTATTGTGGTTAATCTGAAGGTCGCTAGTAAAATGAAGTCATTTGTCTGAATACATGTAGAATGTTCCTTTCCCAAACACTCCCAACCTTAATTCCTCTTTAAAGAATTCCCTGTAAGAATAGTCACAGAATTAGAGAAGGTTCAGTGTTGCTCACTGGGATAGATGTAAGGACTGTTGCTCCTGTCTCCATCTTCAACTAAATTATTGAATCATTGTGCTATCATCTTGTGTAGTATGAAAAACTTGGGGCAATTCTATCTGCACTTGAGTCAGCCTCAGGATGAATTTTTGGTAAATCTGAGCTTAGCAGATTATGAAAACTGACTATTTTCTATTTTTACTACATAGAGCATACATTTCTTTTTCTGTCAGCAGGAACTGTATTCCACATTAGATTGACTATTATAACAGAATAGTGATAATTGCAGCATTTAAGATCTGTCATACTAACTTTAACAACAAAGAAAAATGTTTTTTTTTTTAATCTCTCTTACAGAGTGCCAGTAGCTGCACGCTTTGCTACTTCTGGAAAAGGAATACCAGATCCTGAGTATCTGCACAATTACAACTCTGTGAAACAAGTGGTGGGTTTTCTATTAAAGACTAAACATTGCATGCTAAAACTTCCTCTGGTTAAGTTGCATTTTTTTCAGGGGTAAGCATTTTGTACAATTAAGGTTTCTGGCTATCAGATGGTGACTCACTTCAGCTTCAGGAAGAAGATGACTCAACATCTCCACCCTTTAAAAATGTAGAAAAAGCACATGCAACCAGCTCCTGAAAAGAACTGAAGTGAAATATCTTCATGTCAGATCAGTCTGAAAGTAGAAACACAGGCCTGATAGGCAGTAGAGTAGAAAACGTGTTAAAATGCTGCAGTGAAAATGGAACAATAGTCTGATTATTAAGAAAGAGTTTTAGAAAACAAAGTCAGCCTGGGAGGAATGTCTTACTACATACTTGTGACACATTATTTCCTTCTCTTTCAGACTTGGAGTAAATGTTTCTGTCTTTATTTCTTTACTCAGAAAATGCCATTAATTTACAAGGAAGCTCTGAGCCTGTGTAAACTGTTTTTCTCTATATTATTTCAGTATTTCAGAAAACTTAGTTAGGAATACCCAGAATACACACAGATTTCCAGCTTTTCAATTTAAACTTTGCAATTATAAATGTTTAGTGATAGACAAGGCAAATGTTCCCTTGATAAAAAGACTAAACTCTGTAAACATACAAAATGAGTGAAGTAAGACTGTCAGCTTAATACTGACAGGAAGGTCAGGAGAGCAGGAATAATCTGTCCTTCACAGTTCATAAATAAATAAACAAAATGGAAAGCAACTAGACAGCTTGTTCACAGTATCACTGTCAACTCCTAAAGCCCTCAATTATTCAGTATACTGAAAATGTCTGAAATACCCTTGTCAAATAATACGTGAATTTTGGAGGAAAAAAAAGTTCAAGCTCTTATCAGAGATTTGGGAATGTGGGGTCTTATGAGGGCTGGTGGCTCTCCATGCAGATGCCAGGGAAGGATCTGGGAGCTTATTCTGTCCTACTACCCTGTCAGATATGAGGCCAGCCCCATCCCTGGGCACTATGCATCTCCCTGGGGATGGAGATGGACACAGGGATGCGAGGAGCCAGGCTGGTGGTTGAGGCCACGTCAAGTCCAAGGGTGCAGTTTCTTGGACTGGGACTGAGCACCACCTCTGACAGTACTACATGGGCTATGGCCTGCTCCAAGTGGCTTCACTGATCCTTAGCTGACAGAGGCCTGGCAATCAAACTCCTCCAGGGCTCTTACAGTTTCTACAAAGCTAGGTAGCATTATATTAAGCAAAGCAAGGCTTGTGCTTGATGTACTATATGTGTGATTTAAGAAAAATTTGTAATGAAGTGGTTCATTTAAGAAATTGGCAGGTATCCCTTTCATCACCCAAATCTGCTCCCCTTCCTTCTCCTCATGCATGTTTCTCAGTATCAGCCGCACAACCTCATTTTGAAGTTATCAGCATATTTCAGCAGATTCTGATCAGCAGAAAGCAAAGCAATAGGCATTTAGGAAGCTAAACATATAGCTACACACGTTTCTGTTTCAGGAACTGGTGTTTCTTCACTGGCATGATGCTTTGAGCCAACCTGAGATGTTAGTGATACATCACACGGTGTTGTGCAGGACGTGCTCTGGAAGATGTGTTGGGCTAGCAGGGCGAGGAAGTGCTTACAGAAAACTGCTTCTGGCAGTCTGCAAACTCACCTGTCTTGTGCAAACCTTTTACACTTTGAACTTCTGAGTGTTCCAACAAATTTTAATTACGTAAGTCTAAATTACTGCTTTTCTGTAAGCCTGCCTGGTTCTAAGTGTTTTCTTTGCATAAAATGAAAACAACAACAAAACAACAACAACAAAGTTATTTTGATATCCTGTATGATTATTCAGTTTCAGAAGTATCTTGCTCTTGGAATACTTCTGTCCTCAGTTCATGGACAGAAAAAGCAGAACTAGTAGTCACTGAAGTTTGGAAGAGAGTTAAACCTATAATGATTCTTCTCTTTTTTTTTTTTTTTTCCCTTGAAGTTTCTCTGAGGAAACTTCATAATTGTTTCAGACATGGCAAAAATGTAATGCAACTGATTTTTTTTCTCTCTTATGATACCGGAAGATTTAAGTTGATTGCTACAGTGAGGGATTTGGCCAAGGCAGGAGAGAAAAGCTGCCAAGGAGCTTTCCCTTCTCTTCCTGCTTTCTCCAGCACATAGTTTCGCAATGACTTTTTTTGTGTGTGGTTCCGTGTTTTGGACAGCAAACAGATTTAGCTGCTAGGAAAAACCAGCCAGTTGCTGGGGCTGTAGAAACAATTCTGGTTGCTAGGTGGGGTTTCCTGCATGGCACAATAAAAGCCTCACTACCCGCCTGCTTTCTTATCCGGGCTTCGCTGTTCTGAAAAGTAATTCTTGTGAGGAGAAAGGTATGTTTTTGTAGTTCTTTACTGCTGTTTGTAGACCTGACAGACTTTAAGAACTATCCAGTATGTTTTTCAAGAGGCCTGGTGCAATTTTCTGTAGCTTGGATCTGCTGGCACAGAAAAAAATGGGTGTGACCAGAAGAAATTCTTTTCATTTTAAAATATTTTATCTGCAGAGGAGATCTTGGATAATCACTGTTTTTGTTCTTACTGTTTGTTTTTATTTTCTTCCCTCCTTAAAAAACAAAGCTGAGTAGCTTAAATGATTAAAATTAAAGTTATTTAGATTAGGCTATTTCTTATGCTTTCTGTGCAGCAAAACTGAGATTGCTGGAAAAAAATGTGCTTTGTATGGTAACTTCAGAAGCAGCTGCTATTACTTCAACAACAGTTTGCTGCTTTGGGACAGTAAAGGAATCTTTCCTCAGAGTGAAAATGAGGCAAAGGATCTCTGGGAGACGTAAGAGAAGAACTCTGTATTTACAGTTCATAATTTAGGCAAATGCCACGTATGTAAGGGATGCATCATTTGGGGCTTGTTCTGCTAACACTTTCCACTGAGTTTTCCACAATGAGGTTGTTCTTCTCGCTCATGTATTATTTGTATTCAGTAGACTTTTCCACTGCAAAGGAAATTGTGTTATATCTACTGCCTGCTTTTCTGATAGAATTTGATAACTTGAATTTATATCAAGATCCTGGGAACTACCATTGGACAGTAACTAGGGAATATATGTCTCTTATAGTCAAATAAGATTAGTGAAGTGGTGTAGTTTGACACATAGCTTTATCTGAAGGAAAAATGCAAAAGCATGTCTTAAAATATTTTCAACAAATGCTGTGTATTTTATCAAAACCTCTAAAAATTGGAATATGTCCAACTCTGGGTACTGAGAAAAAACTGAAAAAAAAGATTGCAATGATGATTGTGAAGAACAGCAGGAGTTTCCAGGTCTGGATCTCTCATTTTTTGTTCTAGTTGTACATTGACCATTCAAATTAGGAATGATAAAATGCATGAAAACCATTACTATTTTTTTTTTCAAACTGAGAAATTATAAATCCACAATCTGCTTTCCTCTCAACTGAGATGTTCATGGTTTCCAGCCTGGGAAGTGGGAGATGTAAACTGGACTGTGTTTCATTAAACAGAGTAATTAAACAGACTAACTCTGAAAAGATGTTGCTTGTGGAATATCCTGGTTTTCCACAGTACCTCATCTTTGCATATCTCTGAAGATAATACACATATTTTCATTTTCTATTTTCATAGACTTTGGTGTGAGTTTAAGAATGAAGGAGAAGAAGATACAGCAAAAAATCAGTTCTTCTAGACCTTCTTCATACTAACTTAAAATAGTAATTTGAATGTATCCCCTATGAAGCTAGGCTCTACATGACAGGTTAGCAGCCATAATAGGTGAGAGGCTTGAGAAACACAATTTAGCGTAGGCTAGTAGGCTTTCCTTTTAATTATTCCCAGAAGGTGCAAAACCTCTAGAGCAGTGCAGTGGGCAAGCAGAAACATAGATAACAGCAGCTCTTCCTGGAGCCAGCTCCACCAACTTTATTTCTGAGAGGTGTTATTCTACCAACCAAAATGAAGTTTTGGATTCAAACCGTTCTCAGATCTGGTGTTGTGAATCATTGTTTTGTAGCTTTAAACAGGGATACCAAGTGGGTCTATTAGTTGCAGATATACCCATACATGTCACTGCTGATCCACTGGACTCAACACAGAATGATGACAGTTTTAGAATAGTTTCAACCTTCTGCATGTGGTCTTTATATATTTTTTTTATAAAATGCAACAGAACATGAGATCCTTGAGGTCACTTCCAACACTGTGATTCTGTGATTCTGTGACTCTGTGACTCTGTGATTCTGTGATGAGACACTACAGTACTTCATCTGACCATCTACTTGTGCTGTCAATACAATGGTAATAAGGATTCTCCACAATCTTGATAAAAAGTTTTGAAGAATTTCATAAGAATGCTTTTCTGATCTTTCAGAAGTGACATTCATAAAAGTTGTTCTTCACAACTCACACTGTATTCCAATCATTTGCTCGAATGACACCTGCTTCAGGTAACATAAACATAGATTCAGAGCCAGCTTCTTGTTTTTGAGCAGCATAGGCAGAGATGAATTTAGTCCCTCAAGGTGGAGGTAAGGGCACAAAATCGTGAGTTTTCTGGGGAAGAGGAAATATAGGCTGATCCTATCTTGGGAAAAGGAGAAAAGGGTGGAGCTGAGCTGGAGGGAAACTGTGACTAGCTGCATGTTGGCAGCAGCTGAGTCTGGAAGTAAATTTTGTGATTTTGTAGTAAGGAAAAGAGACAACTAGGTTACAGCCACATTTCATGGTCCTAGGAATTTGTTGCTTTAAACGACTCAATCACCTTTGTGTTGATCACAGGACATAAATAACACACATGTGTTTGCAGTGTAAACATCCTTTTTTTTTTTTTTTTTCTTCATAATTTTGTATACATTCTATGTTATCTGTGCCCTAAGACCTTCATTATATTTAAAGTGTTTCATCAATGATTTTCCTAGAATAGAGAATATTCTTCACAATGAGGTCATTGTATTCAATACTTTTCATTG